TTTAAATAAAGCTTATGACTTCAAAAATAGATAAATTTTAGTAATACAGAAAGGCGAGAATCATTCCTCGCCAAAATTATTTCTTTGTGATAGATCTAATGTAATCATTGGTTAATTAACATCACATGATTTAAGTCTTGATATCGATTGGCTAAGACGTACTTGGCTAAAACCTGACCCGTAATGGCTAAAACCTGACCCGTAATATTCTGTACAGTAATGAGAATAGGGACGGACCAATGACATAAATTATTTTATGTGGGCATAAAATCTTATTTGTAAATATGACCCGAACCGCTAGGCGAGGGTTATATTGCAAACAGCCGTTTATATACGGTCATATAACCTGTCAACAATCTTTATAACGAATTTATAATACAGCAAGCTTAACGGCTCTGGTTATATTTACAAACAGCCGTTAATATAAGGCCATATAACCTGTCAACAATCTTTTTGACAAATAATAAAAACGTCACGATTGTCCAATGAAAAGCGACGTTACAAACGTGCAGTATTATAAAGTTTTAAATACACGGCTGCTGTCGATTTATAAAGAAATCTTACTTTTTGCTCTAGAAATGATGATTGCTGTATTATAAATTCGTTATAAAGATTGTTGGCAGGATATATGGCCGTATATAAACGGCTGTTTGCAATATAAACCTCGTCTAGCGGCTCGGGTTATATTTACAAACAGAGGTTTATATAGGGCCATATAACCTGTCATCAATCTTTATAACTAATAATATATACAAATACCCTATTCAATATTGAAACCTCTTTATTGGCGTCCTTGCCAAGGCACGACTCCCTTTATTGAATGCATTCAGATTTTGTGTTCCGTAGCTACCATAGTCATAATGTTCCGTAGTCATAATGATTATTTGACAAGTTAGCATGCTGTTTGAACAAGTCAGCATTGTCTTTAGACAATATATGATGTACATTGCACATATTAATATGCTTAAATGACTAAATAATATCATCATTTCACAAGATATCAAAAACATTGATAGCATAAGACAGTCACGGCGTTCCATAGATTTGTATTACATTTATAACTGTACGTTTTTATCCATTACGCCATTTATAACCAAGTCTGTGACCGGATTGGTTTAACAAGTTTTAATGAATGAAAAAGAGGAAAATTGCGTAAGTTATGTACATTTTATTCTTATATTTTGGAATTATGATTATGGAAATGGTATAAAAAACGAGTTTTTATTCATTTTCCGTATTATACATGTATCAAAGTCCACAGCTAAAGTTGGATAATGTGACATAAAGATAAGCAGGGGAAATAGAATGTTTTTTACTTTTACGAATTCGTTGTGTGCCTTTTAAATTATGCACGTCTCGACACTAACTTTTTCAGCAGGTGGTATGCCGGACCACTGGATCCAAAATTCAGGTGGTCCTTTCTGAACACAGGTGGTCAATCTTTTTTTTCACTCATTTGTTTTTAATGAAACTTCAGATTTAGAAGATCTACACTTAAAATTGGTGACAGAGACATATTTATTTAGGAAATAGATATCAATTCTGAGTGCATTGTTGTAGAATAATGCACGGTTTGAGTTCAAATGCGTAGTAATATAATCACGAAGGCCGATAGGCCTGAGTGATTAATTACAAAGCATTTGAACGAAAAACGTGCATTATTATACAAAAATGCACGAAGAATTAATATCTATTTCCATTCTAACACGTCAAGAAAAAATATAATTATCATTATAAAGTTGGACTTTATGTTTGGTGGTTTAATTTATTTTCGCATCAGAGTTTCCTTTAAAGGCTGTTCCAGTGGATTGAAAAAAAACTGTCGTTCAATCTACCGTGTGTAGAAACATTTTCAGAATAACGAATTTTAAAAACGTTGATAAAACTTTGTATGTTTATTTTATTTCACTCTATAATTTTTCAAGCGAAATACAAAATTTTTAAAGTGGAATAAATGTAAAACTTAACTCGTTTGCGACACTTAAATAGCGTACTTGATTTGATTGTTTTTCATGTGCTGTTTGGCGCTACATTGACCATTTTCTTTTATTCTAGATAGTTTTCACAACAAAAATCGACAAAAATGTTTTTATTTATCAGATTTTTCTAAGAAAATGGCGCCCTCAATGTGAAAATGCACAGGGAGATAATAAGAACGGCGAGTGCATTGTTGTAGAATAATGCACGCTTCGGGCCTTCTTTGTTTATATAAAAAAAATCCGATAGTGTTAGAATATTAGATTTATAACAACTGAAGAAAAACATGTACTTTTTCTATTTCAATCTATTCAGGAAGTAAGTCATTGTAATCCTATTTAGTATTTATTTTCTTATTGAAAAATACATGACAGTACTCATACTTCGGTTAAGTGACTTCTTCCGCAACTCAAGTTAGGGAATAGTGAAACCATTTGTGAATGACTTATTTCCTTACTGTTATTCAAATATTCATTGCTGTTTCCTGGTATATCTTATAAGAATAATAATTGCTTTTTATAAATTTACATTTTTAATTAAACTATTAAGTTATTATATTCTTGTCTTTGAAACAATGACATATTAATGATAAACAGAAAAATTCCTACATTATAATTGAGCTTATCTTCCTCAAATACTTATTATACATGATTGTTTGTTAATTTTTTTTTTACAAAGTATTTTAAACCTTTTAAAGTACTTTAAATAAGAAAAAATGGATCTCTGATCGTTTAAAAAAGTAGCCAAAGATTACTAGATATTTAATTTTTCCTTTGCCTTTGTTTGCACCATTATTCATGTGTTTATCCGATATCCCATAGTGATACAATGTTATAAATTCAATGCAGTACTATAGACATTTGAATGAATTTTCTACTTTAATTATTAAAATAATTTTCTACTTTTTTAACTACACTGTTAGCAAGTTAATAAAAAGTTATGGATGTCTTAAGATCTTTTTGAACTAATGAGATGAATGAACATATAACTGTACATCGGAGAAATGGTTTTAAACATCAATTATAGAACACGTTTTTCGACCAAATAACCATTCTCCCAGATGAGCCCTGCACCATTCGGAAAATTAAAGTTGTCTAACTGACCAGTTGCCTGTAAAATTAGGTGGTCCTTGCCAAAATCAGGTGGTCTAGGACCAATGGACCACCGCTTATGTCGAGGCCTGTTATGACCCTCTTTTTTAAACCCTGTATCTAAATATCTGTTCCACAGAACATGCTGGTAGAAATCAGTCTCGGAAGCTCAATGTAGAGACACAACACATTGGTCGATAAAATCAACGGGGGAAATTAGTGAAGACTCGAGACAAAAGAAGAGAGGTAAAGTCTTACAAAGAATTTTATTGCAAAAACGTGTATGCGTTTTTGGATGTTTTTAAAGGAATAAATAAATAAATAACAAGCCAAAAAAACATATCTAGTAATCAAAGCAAAAAAAATCTACTTCTGTTTCCTTTTTTAGTTCCTTATAGCATGTGACCGAAAAGTATCCGCTACCACTTAGGCCTACTTTTCAGTTTATATTTATATTCATTCGTTATGTAATTGTAAATTAAAAATTGTTATGCTTTGAGTTGTATACCATATAATGCTTTCCACTTTATGTCACGTAACTAAATGATAAATCACTTGCCCCTCACCGCTGTGGGTTCGAATCCCGACAGGGACTTTGGATTCTTTCATGTGAAGAAGCTATCCAGCGTGCACGACATTAAATCAGATAAAAAAATCCTTTTGGCTTATTGAAAATTTCATTTACTGAAACACACATTTTTCTTTTTTAGACTATGAATATTAATACATGTATCCAATTTTAACCAACTGAAATGCATATGTATACTTAGATGGAATTTTTTTTATGGAATGAAGGGAATATAACCAAATTATTGTGCATTTTTTTGTCAACAATTTCTGAAATAATATTTTGCAACTTAATGTTTGCCGGACTGTGATATTATTGATTATAGAACAGTCGAAATAGTAAACAGGTTGAAGCACAGATTTTAATTTTTTTACTTCCGTTTAAATTTCGTAAATACGACCCAGTCTCGCAGAAACATGCGAAAGGTGTTTTTGTAACTGCGGAAGATTTGTTTAGTTCTAAAAAAAAGTTTAATGGATAGGAAAATAGTTTAAATTTGTTATCGGCTATTTCCGTCAGTCTCCGGATATCTTATTAGGAATAATCGGCGAGGTGTTCTAAGTTAAAGAAGGAGTAAAATTTCGGTACATGGTTCGCATACTATGGAGGGTTATTTATGCCAAAATTACATCTTGCTTTCTTACGTTACATCGTGCTTTCTAACTTGTACATTATGCATTCTAACATATACGCCCCGGCTTGAGTGGTACTCAGTTATCAACACTTAATAGTGCTGACATCAATGATCCCGAAGGACCATAAAAATATAAAAACACTGAAGTGATGAACGGGACAACTTTTTACAGCCGCCACACAGCACTTGACACCTGCTGTTGTGAAGTATAAAATCTGGAAACAAAGTGATCCCTCGGAAGCATATTAAAAAGCCGACCAATTTATTTACATATATTATAGTGTCGTGGAGTCAGTATGATAAGAATGGTTAATGTCATTGACTTAAAACCGCTTGCCTCTCACAACTGTAGGTTAGAGTCGCGTCAGGGTCTTTGGATTTTTCATGTGAGAATGTTAGCTTACGGAACGTTGGTAGTTCTACTCCGGTGCCCGTTGTGTCTGAAATAATGTACACAGGGACACCAGAGGTCTTCATTCATCAGTAAAGCTTGAAAGTCTCCTTATGATCTGTACTGTGTTGGTGCCACGTAATTCCCAAACCCTCCGAGAAAAAGTATGTTAAGAAGATCATTCAAGCGATAAATGATAAAATACGATATCCTAAAACATGCTATTCATGTTCCTTATGAGATATTACTGGACGTTTATCTTGGTTCTTTGGGACAACAACAAAACAATATCATACTTTAACTAATTTTATTTTATAGTCATACATAGTGGCATATGTAATTTATCTCACTGAGTAATGTCTTAGTTAATCTTTGGCATTTTATGGGAACGACTCCATTTATAAAAGCCAAAAGGTTTGGATACTGGGCATACAAAACCCTGTTAGGGCATCCATAGCAAAGCAAACAAATGACACAAAATCAAAACAAGCAAATGGAACAAACTGTATAGCTTTTTGGAACAGTATGTTCTAGAAAATCATTGATCAAAGCTGTTCAAGCAATTCTAGTCTTTCAATTCTTCATTCACAAAATAGTCAATTTTCACAAATGTATATGAGCAACAACACAGCATTGACACTGTTGCGCGAAATTGGTTCTGGGAAGCAGAAACCAGTATCGCCAGTATCACAAAATGTCTATTCGCCGGACGCAAAATGCAAATTTAGCAGACACAACATGTGAAATCAAGTAGTTGAAATTTCATAGAACACATCTCTGGAGTTGCACCGTTGTCGAATTCTCTCTGCTGGTGGTTTTGGCCCAAGCAGTTTTCCTAAAGATACCTCTTCCATGGTATTTAGTAGGGCTAGCTGTCTTGAAACACGTCGCTTATGTTGGAAAATCTGAAAACATATCAAAAGAGGACAGAAACAACGAAACAAGCATGACGCTAGTATTAAATTTAAGCTCAAATCTTTGGCACTTCACACTCATAATTGACCGAGGAGGGCGGGTGTTTTTTTTTCAATAATTCATTTCTTCCATTGTTACAATATTCGACGCCAGCGTTAAAAGGATATGACGTAGATACAGTACCTACGTCACAACCAGGGCAGGGTATAAGTTGTTCCCCAAATAACAGAGACTATTCTATAGAAATAGCCATCATTATTTGGGACAGCAACAAAACAATATCATACTTTAACTAATTTTATTTTATAGTCATACATAGTGGCATATGTAATTTATCTCACTGAGTAATGTCTTAGTTAATCTTTGGCATTTAATGGGCACGACTCCATTAATAAAAGCCAAAAGGTTTGGATACCGTGCATACAAAACCCTGTTAGGGCATCCATAGCAAAGCAAACAAATGACACAAAATCAAAACAAGCAAATGGAACAAACTGTATAGCTTTTTGGAACATTATGTTCTAGAAAATCATTGATCAAAGCTGTTCAAGCAATACTAGTCTTTCAATTCTTCATTCACAAAATAGTCAATTTTCACAAATGTATATGAGCAACAACACAGCATTGACACTGTTGCGCGAAATTGGTTCTGGGAAGCAGAAACCAGTATCGGCAGTATCACAAAATGTCTATTCGCCGGCCGCCACTAGACTTCGGAATGCGGGATGGTGAACGGGAGATTTCCCGTTTTCCAGTCGAAGGCTCCGCCAATAACATATAATATTGGCTTCGCCAATATCATATTATTATTGGCTCCGGCGAATTGAATACTTAAAAAAAAATTAGTCGTGCCCAGCCATTCTATGATTTATAATACAACACTGCCATGTAGGTAATTCAACTTAGCAAATAAAGCAGCATTCCAATAAATATGCATATACTAGCGCTCATAAATCAAATATGACACTATCTGAAACACAATAATTTGGGAAGTAACCATCAAGATCTCGAGTTCAGTGACATTTCTCCTGACATGAATTTAGCAAAAACATTCAAACCTCCAAATTTATATGTGCTAGCTAAATGTATATACATTTGACATAGTTCTGGCTTCCATAACTTTATATGTCGCTTTTATTTTGACGTTGCGACAGTAAAGTTATGGGTCAACCCTATTTGCAAAGGCTACCAGAATTTTGGCAGTTTGTGAACAGTACATATATAACTATTTAAATCACCTTTATCAATCAAATTTGTGTCAAATAAATATTACCATTTGATAAACAAATAAATTTTGCATCTATTCACTGCTCTCATTAATTATAAAACCTAAATACATGTATCATCATATACCCACCTATTTTAATATTTTTAAGGTACATCAAACTTGTGAATTTGCTACTCCTCAACATTACATGGCAGTTGCTGAATTACAAAATAGAGAAGAGTTATTATAAAAAAAAGTTAATAGTTAATAAATATATAGGGATATATCACCATTAGAGTGACTTATTGATTCCAAAATCAAAATATGACATTGTTGCACAATTCTGAAACTGAAAATTACCCACATAATGCTATGTCAAAATTCTGTTTAAAGACTAGGAATTAAATTACATGTAAAATATTTTCATAAACATTTAGTCAATATATCAATGCAGTGCACCCGAATGATAAAGTTTTGTTAAATAACCTCCTTTACGTATCCAGAACTTTTCACGTGCTTCGGCATACATTTTTGACCCGCCATTTTATCAAATCCTTCTGTTTTTACGTCGTTTTTCCTCAACGGATATCATGTTTATGCTTCGCTTAGTAAAATAAATTAAAACAGATTCATATTCCCATGAACAAAAATATTCATAGAACAAACCTTAATACACAGAATTTCAATTCGATTGCTTTATACCTGACATAGTAATATCTTTCTTGTATTTATTTACATTTTGTCGGTTTCTGTTGACCCGGTCTCCCTAATTACCGACAAGAACCGACAAGAAGTATCGTATAAGTACCTAATCTCACACCCAACCTATTCTCAAACCTTTCATTTATGTGCTGTTATTTTTTACTAGAAGTGACTCTGATGTCCTAAACTTGTGTGCATAAAAGCTTAGTTTCTGACAGACATGTCTGCTGATGTCAAATGAAAACAGTGCATAGGAACAAATATTTACATAACATATTTTATTACTTAGCGTAATTTCATACAAATTGCTATTACCTTTGTAAGTCCCATAAATACACCATTAACTATTTGTGAAAATGAATATTATAGACAAAAATATCTTAAAGCAAGTAACTGCATCGTGTAGGGTACTTCATTGTCATGTGATAGTCATATAACAATCACTTCTTTGGCTAAACTAAACAGTAGAATTTTAGAGATACTTGAAGGGGTTTGAGATTAGGTTCTCTATTTTAAGCGGCAATGTTAGTTTTAAAACAGAGGGTTGTGCTTTTCCAAGATGGAAATAGAGCTTTTCTGTACGAAATCTGCTGTGGTCATAGTATTATTTTTACAATAGGTTTATCTCTTAGATTTGGTTTGCTAAATTGCTAATCATGGTCATGCAACTACATAGTTAGGTGAAGAAGCAGGCGCTTGTTTTGGTTGAGTCTATTATGTTTTGTTTAGGGGGTTGAGTTGTCATACACAAATTTACAATTTATATGCATTTATTTATTTTCCAATGATTGTTATTATCTTAAATGCTTCTGGGATTGTTGTTTTATCAATTCATTTGTAAATAAGATTGTTATATGTCTATTAACGGAATAATTTTAATGAACACGAAATTAGTTCACACCTACATGTGTATTGGTAACGTGATGGTTTAAGCCAATGAAAACACGTCAATATTATTATACTCGGGCAGAGAAAAAGTGTGCAAAGAGTAAATCGATAATCTTTATGTAGCCAGCAAACTTTGAATTGCAAGTATTTTTTCATATCTTTTGGGCAGGATAAACTGTCCGAGGATTCGTATCGTAAAATGGCTGCCATTTACAGTATCAAGTGATTATCCCAAGCACCACCGCGACTTAGCGCGGGAATTTTAATTATAGCTTACCTCGGCGGGTATACCTTTTTCATATTTTATTGTAATAAATATTTACAAACTGTGTCTTTCGGGGTTTTTTTTATCAATATATAACCAATAATGATTTTAATATGAATAAATAATCATAATTATCTCAAATCTTTGACTATGATTTACAATGAAATTCTACCTTAAGTGTATTAAAAAGGTTTTTAATTTCCTGTAATTTTATTTTGTGATTATGCTTCAAAGCAGTCAATTGACCGTGAATTTTCTTTTCATATTTTGATTTCCTTGAAATCATTTTTCTCATCTGAAGGCATGCAACTTTAATATGGTGATACATTAATTACATTCCATGAAAATGTTTAAAGATATAAAATATCTCATGACATGTTTGTTCATTTTACATTACACCTTTAATTCAGCAAACATAAAGTCTTCACAAAAAGTAGTATGCAATCGTACCTATATTACATACGAATGTATGTAATATTTTTTCTTGTTTAATAGTTGAATTTCAGTCAAATTTTACAGAAATGTTACATGAAGATTAAAGTGTACATATGTAAAGAATTTTTATAAAGATATATATTTATTTACATTAAAAGACCTCTTGAATGCTTAGAGGTTTGAGAACTGGTTAGTCCACGATAAAAATGGGAAAATACGAATTAATTTCACTTATTCATCATTTAATAATAACAACTGTTGACCGCATAACGGAAGGAAGTAAAAAATATTCATACACAGAAGTAGACCTCACCTGAAAGATCGGGTAATTTCGGCGTATCTAAATGAAAGTTACATTTCTTTTATCACTTTATTTTCGTCCTTGTTAAAAAAAATATATGTGAGCGACATATTTCAAATACACGTAATATTTCATGGAACTATGAACAATCGCGTAAGTTCTTTCAATTTTGTACAATTTGGCGGATATACATTTCGTATTGTTACAACGTGTACCAGGTAATCTAACGGGTCTGACTATAATCTAACAGTTGAGGTAAACATACGCGTGATAAAATCTCAACACTTGAGGAAATACCGCTGTAAACTAAACCGCTGACGAATTAGCTGACGATAGAGAGTAAATAGGAAACTGCTGGCAAGTTAAATGGAAACTGCGGAAAAATATAATATATTTTATATATCTAACTGGTTAGCACTTTTTATAATAAGTTTAATTGGTCAGCAGATTCTACCATATGTTTAACTGGGCAGTAGTTTTTATTATATGTTTAACTGGTCAGCAGTTTCTCGCACGCTGAATTTGATGCCCATATAAAATAAGAAGGAATTTTAAAAAAGCATTTTCTACTATATTTTTTTCGGGAGATGTAGAATCTACTTTATTTACTTATATTACAGCATAAATAATCAATTCACGACAACGCGCCATATTGCTTTATAAATCTTACCTAATACCTTAAATTGCAGCAATGCTATGCTTATAACTATGCTAATAAATTATTTTACTTTTTAGAAGTATCATTATTTAAAATTCACGAAGTTGACCTCATCACGGATTTCCCGTAACCTCATACATTCTATTAGTATGTTCATTTTTAAACATAAAATATTTATGCAACAAGTGCAAATAATACTGCAAAGACAGCAAAGGGAAAGCTCCGCAAAAACATTGCGTTTAGCTAGATGTGTGAAGTTGGCGGCCTGGCGGCCTGGCGGCCTGGCGGCGTGAAGTTGGCGGCCTGGCGGCCTAACGGCCTGGCGGCGTGAAGTTGGCGGCCTAGCGGCCTGGCGGCCTAGCGGCGTGAAGTTGTCGGCCCAGCGGCCTGGCGGCCTAGCGGCGTGAAGTTGGCGGCCTAGCGGCCTGGCGGCCTGGCGGCCTAAAATTTTAATGTTCTAGAAATGTTTTTTTAACAATAAAACGGCATTTAATGAAGTTTTAAAGATAATTATTGTTATTTAAACGATATATCTAAAGAAAAAATCACTTTCAGAGATTTTTTTAATTTTGTCATTTTTGTGAAGTTGGCGGCCTAGCGGCCTGGCGGCCTAGCAGCCAAAAATTTTAATGTTGTAAAAATGTTTTTTTAACAATAAAACGGCATTTAATGAAGTTTTAAAGATAATTATTGTTATTTAAACGATATATCTAAAGAAAAAATCACTTTCAGAGATTTTTTTAATTTTGTCATTTTTGTGAAGTTGGCGGCCCAGCGGCCTGGCGGCCTAGCAGCCAAAAATTTTAATGTTGTAAAAATGTTTTTTTAACAATAAAACGGCATTTAATGAAGTTTTAAAGATAATTATTGTTATTTAAACGATATATCTAAAGAAAAAATCACTTTCAGAGATTTTTTTAATTTTGTCATTTTTGTGAAGTTGGCGGCCTAGCGGCCTGGCGGCCTAGCAGCCAAAAATTTTAATGTTGTAAAAATGTTTTTTTAACAATAAAACGGCATTTAATGAAGTTTTAAAGATAATTATTGTTATTTAAACGATATATCTAAAGAAAAAATCACTTTCAGAGATTTTTTTTAATTTTGTCATTTTTGTGAAGTTGGCGGCCTAGCGGCCTGGCGGCCTAGCAGCCAAAAATTTTAATGTTGTAAAAATGTTTTTTTTAACAATAAAACGGCATTTAATGAAGTTTTAAAGATAATTATTGTTATTTAAACGACATATCTAAAGAAAAAATCACTTTCAGAGATTTTTTTTAATTTTGTCATTTTTGTGAAGTTGGCGGCCTAGCGGCCTGGCGGCCTAGCAGCCAAAAATTTTAATGTTGTAAAAATGTTTTTTTAACAATAAAACGGCATTTAATGAAGTTTTAAAGATAATTATTGTTATTTAAACGATATATCTAAAGAAAAAATCACTTTCAGAGATTTTTTTAATTTTGTCATTTTTGTGAAGTTGGCGGCCTAGCGGCCTGGCGGCCTAGCAGCCAAAAATTTTAATGTTGTAAAAATGTTTTTTTAACAATAAAACGGCATTTAATGAAGTTTTAAAGATAATTATTGTTATTTAAACGATATATCTAAAGAAAAAATCACTTTCAGAGATTTTTTAATTTTGTCATTTTTGTGAAGTTGGCGGCCTAGCGGCCTGGCGGCCTAGCAGCCAAAAATTTTAATGTTGTAAAAATGTTTTTTTTAACAATAAAACGGCATTTAATGAAGTTTTAAAGATTATTATTGTTATTTAAACGATATATCTAAAGAAAAAATCACTTTCAGAGATTTTTTTAATTTTGTCGTTTTTGTGAAGTTGGCGGCCTAGCGGCCTGGCGGCCTAGCAGCCAAAAATTTTAATGTTGTAAAAATGTTTTTTTAACAATAAAACGGCATTTAATGAAGTTTTAAAGATAATTATTGTTATTTAAACGACATATCTAAAGAAAAAATCACTTTCAGAGATTTTTTTAATTTTGTCATTTTTGTGAAGTTGGCGGCCTAGCGGCCTGGCGGCCTAGCAGCCAAAAATTTTAATGTTGTAAAAATGTTTTTTTAACAATAAAACGGCATTTAATGAAGTTTTAAAGATAATTATTGTTATTTAAACGACATATCTAAAGAAAAAATCACTTTCAGAGATTTTTTTAATTTTGTCATTTTTGTGAAGTTGGCGGCCTAGCGGCCTGGCGGCCTAGCAGCCAAAAATTTAATGTTGTAAAAATGTTTTTTTAACAATAAAACGGCATTTAATGAAGTTTTAAAGATAATTATTGTTATTTAAACGATATATCTAAAGAAAAAATCACTTTCAGAGATTTTTTTTAATTTTGTCATTTTTGTGAAGTTGGCGGCCTAGCGGCCTGGCGGCCTAGCAGCCAAAAATTTTAATGTTGTAAAAATGTTTTTTTAACAATAAAACGGCATTTAATGAAGTTTTAAAGATAATTATTGTTATTTAAACGATATATCTAAAGAAAAAATCACTTTCAGAGATTTTTTTAATTTTGTCATTTTTGTGAAGTTGGCGGC